ACGCAACGCAACGCAACGCGCCTCCGCCGCCGCTCCTGCGTCACTCACACTGCGTATTTCACCGCGATTTCTGGCAAGGGCGCAATCGAGGGGTGCGTGTGCATGCTATGCTGGTCCAGATACGGTAAAGCGCAGCTCACCATGGGCAGGTATTGACATTCAGATTGGTATTCATGATGATTTGCAATTCGCGACTTGACCTGCAACTAGGATCTCGTTCGCTCTTAATTCTTGCTTCGCCCTCCTGCTCGACACGGGTGCCTAGTCCCGCTGCACCTCCATCCGAACGACAAAGCACTCTGACCAGCTAATTCGATCGGAACGGGTGTGCATTGCCGGCGTTGGTGTAGCCTGTCTGAGTCTCAGCCGGAAGAGGACACGCGCACGCGCCTATCTGCATCGGCCCCCATCACCGCGTTCCCAGTGTTTACAGTGCCACTCAGCGCCGCGTCATTTTACAACCAACGTTCCACTTCCTACTCCTATCACTAGCGCTGAGACCCATACAAGCGACTCATCAAAGCGCTGACTGTGGCTCCGGCTCATCATGACGATCACATCCAAAACGCCACGAAAACCTGAAAAGGTCACGAATGGCGAGCTAGAGGTGCCAGAAGCAGAACTTTCTTCCCAAGCACAACCTTCACCCCCTAAGCGCAGCGTCTCCTTTGGCCCTGCTTCTTCTGCGCCAGCAAATGAATTCAACATGTCTTCAGGCGCAGGCTTAGGTGCGACAACGAGCAACGGGCTCGGAGGAAGCAGCACGACTGGCATTGGTGCTGGTCCATCTGCGCCTGCTACCCCCGCGCGAGGATCGAGCATAGCAGGCAGTAACGAGAGCAGCGCAAGCACTCCCTCTTCTGCACTCAAGCCCGCACTCAAAGCTAGCGCTCAAGGTCGCAAATTGCCACCAGCAGAACAATACTCGCATCCCGACCCCTTGTTGAGGAGGCTTCGGCTGTTGGACGAGCATGGCAAGCCGATCAATTTGAAGAGCTTCTTCAAAGGTGCAAAGGTCGTGGGTTTCTACTTTAGCAGCCAGTGGGCTGGTCAACCTCTGAAAGAATATCACAAGGTGCGTGGTGGGATGACTGGAGGAAGGCTTTCACAGCGCTGCCTGGACTAAATAGCCATCCCCTTTGTCTCGCGCATTCGCAGACGATCAGCGAATTCTGTCGGAATCATCCAAACGACTTCAAGTGCATTTACGTTAGCGTGGATGTTGATGAGCAGTGGTACAAGGCTGGCGTCAAAGGAAAAGTGAGTCCACCAGGTCTGCAGATCGGTCTTGTCTTTGCTTGAAGCATGGGCTGATTCGAGTTGCGGCTGTTGCTGCTCGTGCTTCGTAGCCATGGGTTTCGATGGCGTGGAACGACGGCTCCTCGCTGCCGAGCGAGCGAGCGGACACGACAGCTTCCGCGACTGCGCCGAGCTCACCGGTCTTTCACAATAATGAGGACTACCTACTGGCAGGCGAGGTGGACATCGACGAGTCACTCTCCAGAACGGATACGGATGGTACTGCCTACCTTCGACCATTCTCTCGCGTCCACCTAGCTTCCAAGCTGAACATCATTGCAGCTCCGACGCTTTGTGTATACCACATTGACAAGGGAAAAATGCTGGATTGGAATGTCAGGATGGCTAGGATCAAACCCGGCTCAGACGCAGAGACTTGGGAACGATGGGTGAAGGGCGAGCCGGCAAAGTCTTTCGGATTTCAAGGTAAGGGTCACCTGCTGGAGCGTGTAGTCACGCGATGGTGCTTCTGTGAGGAGGAGCACGAATGCCAGTCGTTGGGTTGCTGGATTGAGGTGCGCATACACGTATCTGCAGCTTCATACTGACCTCTTCCTCTTGTTATTCTGCCAGACGCTTTCTATGCCGCCCCGGCCAGCTTTATCATGTGTGGCGTCGCAATCGTCCTCTGGTTGGTCGTCTTCTTCTTTGGGCAAGACTACAATGTGAGAGCGGATGGATGCGTCGTTTCACACCATTTCTCGAGCACTGCTGACTGCTGCCTCTCCACCTCGTCCCGATTTGTAGGTCCTGAGGTATGCCATTAATGCGCTCGATGGATCTATAGCAAAGTCTCGAACGGGACTGCAGGACGTTTCGGCGTCCGCCTTTGACGCAGCTGCAGAAGCTAGAAAGGCAGGCGGCTTGTGATGACCGTTTGTTTTTGCCTGCCTGCGTTTTCAATCCGACTCGCACTTAGACATCACTCTTGGCCTTCTTTACGACTTTGACGACGTCAACGACGCTTTTTGCGGCGCTGAACACTTCAACTTTCCACGCAATCGTCCCTTCGCCATGGGCTGTAACCTGTCAATGTGACGAGTACGCCTATGATCTGATCCACTCTGACGAATGAATGAGCCGTGCTGCAAGAACCGTGATATCACTTCCGCAGGCCAGATCCGAGGAGCCCGCTGAAGTGCAATTCTTCAGAGTTCAACCTGTTGACGGTCCAGCTCATGTCAAGCTATTTGCTGCAGCGACAAGATGCACTCTCGTTTCGAGTGGAGCAAGTAGGGCTTGTTCGAGCAAGATATCCATGTTTATAAGCAAGGAAGTCGGTGCGCGACCAGCCTTTGCTCAGGGAAGCTCGTACTCTTACCCCCATGAGTGGCCAAGAAAATCATGCAGAGCATCACACCTCAGACACACGAAGCTTTGGTCTTTCAGGCTCGGTCAATGCATGCAAGCCGCGCCAAGGACCGCAGCAGGCTGTTCACTTGGCAAGCGAATCCTTCTTGTTCGCTCATGTATTCGCGCATTTGGGTCTGGCTTTGAGTACTCAACGCTGCGGTAGGATGATGAATCAGGGCTTTGGAATCCTGATCGTCTTGCTGATGAAGAGTGCGGCCCAGGTGAGCCATACCAAGGACAAGATGTGGACTTCAACTTTGGAGTACGAAGCGATGGTGAGCGCAGCGCTCCTTGGCAGTCCAAACTCGATCAAAGACTTGGCGACGTGAGCCGAGACGTCGTATCCGATCGTGCCGAGTGGAACACCATCGCCAGCGTTGGCACCTGGGATGATGTCCCTCAGAGCTCCAAAAAAGTTGAATCCGTCTTGACCCACTCCGCGCTCTTTGGCAAGCACGAGGGGCAGTCCGCCAGGAGCGACTCGACCAGCCAGCATGCAGATCGCCATGCCTCCAACCAGGATGAGAGATGATGGGATAGGCAAACCCTCGAAGTACCGAGCTTTACCTGTCGCGTCATGCGGAATGGAAGCGGTGGTCACGTTGAATCTCGCAAGTCTAGCGATGCCGGCGCACACAAAGGCGGTCAAGATGATAGAGTCCAAGGGAGTGCGCAAGCCAAGGGCAAAGGCGGCAAAGGCAGGCGCAGCTCCGAAGGACGTCTGTCATTTCAAAGAGAAGGGAAGCCGCAAAGGTTCAGAATTCATGTGCGCCACTCGTCGAAGCAAGCTTTCACTTACCGAGTCTGCTAAGCTGTCCAGCTCTTGTCCCAGCATTGAGCTGCTGTTGCGCCACCTCGCAACTTTTCCGTCCAGCAGATCGAAGATTGCGCCGAATACCGGGAACCAAAGAGCATGCCAGGCGTGAATGGGATCAGAAGTGATGAGGTATCGAGCTGATGCAAAGAGCGATTGCGCTCCGCAGAACCCGTTCATCAGGGTGAATGCGTCTGCAAGATGGAAGTTCCTGTTGGCAGGTATTGCGAACCAGTGTTGGGAGCGGTCAGCAGGTACGACGACACGGGTCCGCGCCGTGATTTCGCAACTTATGCTCCGCTGCGGCACACTTGAAGCTCACCGAACAAGACTGAAGTGACCAGATGTCTCTACGAACTGCTTCAGGGCACCATCTTGTTGGATCGCAGCTTCCTCGCTCTTTGCTCTGCTTGATTTGCCCTTCTTTCCCTTGCTTTTGCCCTTGGGCTCGATCGGTCCAGCGGCAGGTTGCGCGGTCATCTTTGCCGCAATGTTGGTAGGGGCAAGAGCGGCAGTCGGTGCAGCTGAAGCAACTGCTTGTGCGGCGCCTTGAGATGCGACTCCAGCGGCTGGATGCCCTGATGGTGCTGCGCTGACCTTGAGAGACGTCGATGAGGACGCGTCGTCAACGACTGCTGCTTTTGTGAGACCCGAGGAAGAGGAGGAGGAGACGAGTATTGGATCGAAGGCTTTTGGAACTGTACCGGGCATTACTATTCCACTGACTGGTGTTACGTGGTGATGGTCGCGTCGATCGAGGTGACGAGCTGAGCCGCGTCTTTGCGCTTCGAGACGTTACCGCGGGTTTTCGCTCCAACAATTCTGTGTTGCTGCTGTCTTCAGAACGTCAAAGCGATCAAAGCTGGAGGCAAGATCGTGTTTCAATGTGATCTCCGACTACTGGCGGGTATGTGGTACGGATGACTCAGGAAGCCTGTATAGTCAGTGCTATATAGCGACCCTTGCATGGCCTTTCGATGTGACGCTTCTCACGAAGTTTTTGGGACGCATGCAGCAACAGCAGCAGGGAGAAGGGGAGCATCATCATCATAATCCAGTCAGTCACTGTGACTGCACGGTGCACGCGCTCAACGCGTCACCAGCTAGCTGTAGCTCTGCAGCTCGACACCGCGACGCCCGTCTCCGTTACAATCCGCGTCGCCTCATTTCGATCATTCGCGCCTGCATATGCTGTCAGGTGCTGCTGGGCCCCTTCCCATAGTCGCCTACAAAATCGAATGGATGCACGGGGCGTGCGTTCGTGCATAGCACAGCCTTCTGAATCTCCCTGATCACGTTTCGATCCAATCTTGGCTTCCGCATGGCCAGCCGCCCACGTGGCTTTCATTGGACTGTCGTTGCAAGGGGCTCGTCTGAACACCTCGCGCGTGGTGGGACACTCCGAGCGGGTATCACACCAAACGCGCAACATGCCTCCGTCCCATAACGGAACCCCCGATTTGAGGCTCTACTCGACTCGCGAACACACTTCGCCCGACACTAGCTCGTCAACGTTATCAGTATGACAGGCAAATACGCGACAAATCGCCTCGAGGAAGGACATTGCTTGACAGGTGACGCCGAATTTATACGCGCCAAACGGCGAAATGGACGAAGCCGGATGTTGAGGCTGGCGGTCGTGCCCCTCTTGGGTCTGCTAGCGCTGGCATACCTTTCGATAACGCACTGCTCCTCGCAGCAGTGGCTCACTCATACTTGGAGTAGCGGCCATCGAAGCAAGAAGGTCAATATCATCTTCATGATCTCTGACGGATACGGACCCGCTAGCGAAACCTTTGGAAGGGCATTTTTCGCTTGCATACACGACGGCGACAAGCCCGAGCAGCACAGTCCACGCCACTCAGAGCGACCCGCTAATCAGTTGCCACACACTCCGCTGGACAAAATTTTGGTCGGTAGTCACAGATCGGCCTCTTCAGACAGCCTCATCACGGACAGCGCAGCGGGTGCGACCGCATTCTCGTGCGCCAAGAAGAGTTACAATGGAGCGATTGGTGTCGATGCGAGCAAAGAGGCATGCGGAACAGTCTTCGAGGCCGCCAAGGCTGCAGGCTGGGCAACAGGTGTTGTCGTCACGAGCCGACTGACCGATGCGACTCCGGCATCGTTCATCTCACACGTCGAGTCGCGCGCGCAGGAGCCCTTGATTGCTCTACATTCATTGGGGCTTTCACCGGAAGCTCTGAACCTCTCAGCGCCTGCTCTTGGCCCAGGAAAGACGCCTCTCTCCCCGCCTCTGGACCTCGCAATCGGCGGCGGTGGGTGCTTGTACCTGCCAATGTCACATCCATCTAGCTGCAGGCAGGACTTGGGCGACCTGGTTGCTGAGGCCAGTTCTCGAGGTTGGCACGTGAAGATGGGTCACGGCTTCAGAAATGCTAGCAGGTCTGGCACCGCGAACATGCGCGTCTTTCACGATGGCATACAGGGGTCGGCCGCTCTGAGTGCGGAAGGCTCCGACGAGTCTGCTAAGCATGACTTCTTAGCCTCGCTGCAAAGGTCTTCAACACCGTTGTTGGCTCTGCTGAGCCCTGCCAACACTCCGTTCGAAATCGATCGCCAATTCTCGGAAGTCAATCGAGCAGCCTTTCCTTCCCTCAAATCGCTTGCGCTGACAGCCATCGATCTGCTTACTCGCTCCAAATCGAACAAAAAGGGCTTTGTGCTCATGGTGGAAGGAAGCCAAATCGATCTGTGTGCGCACGCCAACGATCCTGCGTGCCATGCGAGGGAAATCGTTGCCTATCAGCAAGCAATCAACGCAGTCCATGAATGGGTCGACGAAGCTAACAAGAGAGGGGAGAAGACAGTGTTGATTTCGACGAGCGATCACGAGACTGGTGGTCTCACCTTAGGGCGACAACTTACGGCTGCATACCCCAACTACGCCTACTATCCGAGTCGCCTCATCCCTGCGCGCAAGTCTGCCACTGCCCTTTCTGCTCAACTGGTCTCGTTCGTTACGAGCAGCAGGTCGCCGCCTACCAAGGAGCAGGTCAAGCGATTCGTCGTAGAAGAGTCTCTCGGCAAGAACGGAGCGGGCTTGACAGGACCTGGGGCGGGTGGTCCAGCCACCGATGCGGAAGTGGAGCGGGTGCTCCATTGCATCGGCCACTCGCAACCTTTGCAGGACCCTCCCATCAACACGGCAGACGAGTGCAGAAAGGTCTTTGCGGACATTATGAGCAGGCGTGCGGAGCTGGGCTGGAGCACTTCTGGGCATACAGGAGTCGATGTGCCGGTACATGCTGCGGGATGGCGCTCTGCTGAACTGGCGGGCAACATCGAGAATACAGATGTGGGCAAGTTCATGGAGCGGGTACTGGGAGTGAGCTTGCAGCACACCACTCGAGACCTTCTCGGCCGAAGGAGCTAGCGGTCAATGTAAGATTGTGTTTCTTGCTCGAAGTCCCTTCGGATGCCACAACTTCCTCATGCGGGACAGTACACTTGCACCAGTTTCACGAGCAAGTGCCTGTGACCAAGGCCGGCGGCGGGTATTGAACAGCAAAGGAGCCGTTTGGGAAGGGCTTCATGGCATTTCCGATGAAATTACATACTACTGATTGGATCCGTGTCATCTTCTTCGAGTCGAGTGCGATTCTTTGATGCGGGTTTCGATGATTCTGCGTAGGTACGTATAGGTACGGTAGGCGCAAGGATACAATCACGTGTGCCTCTTTTCAGCCGCGCTGCTGAGCACAGCCTCTGTGTACAAGCGCACACACTTTTTGTAGCGTGCGAGTCGAGACGCACACACGCGTGCGCGTAGCTCGGCGACGTGCTGATTTCAGCCTAGCTCATGAGAACTTTGTGACGCGTCCCACAGCAGGTGCATGATGATGATGATGGCGAGGTCGAAAGGTCGCGATTGGGTGTCATCGGCAGCCTCAATCACGAATCACATGAATCACTCGTGACTGCTTCGGGCTCAGGCTCAGATCAGACAGAGCTCAGCTAGACTCGTGAATTTCAAATCACATTCGTGTCCCCTGAATGCTCCTCAAATCTTCGGCGGCTCCCACCATCGCTCGTTGTTTGGTCCCCTCATCAACTTCGCGACATCATCCCGCCCCGCTGCTCCCCTGCACCGCTCCCGCAGCCTGATTTGCTGTTCGAACATCCGACCAAGCCGCACGTCAAACAGGGACATCATTTGCAGTAGGAGAAAGCACTGCATTGGCCAGTGGTCTTCAAGAGAGGACTCTTAACTGTCAGGCTGTGCGCTGAGGCTCACGAGGTCTTCGATCGGCTCGGAGCATGTGTATGCACTGTTGAGGGCTTACCGAAAGCGCAGCATCACAGAGCTCGGCGCAGTCAAATTTGATCCCAGGGTCGACAAGGGGCGAGGGACACGGCTCTGACTTGCTTCGAGCATACAGTTCCTGCTTTCGAGTACGCGAGCAAGTATTGTCTGCCAGCAAGTGGGCTCTTCCATGGATGCATTTGGAACGAGTCTTCGCATGGGTGCGTAAAACGCATCAGGAGAGCGCCTGCTTTCATCATGCCCAGAGCGCCCAGGCCGGGCGAGCCTGCCCACAATCCTTTCGGCGATGCAAGACCGCAAAGATCTTTCAATTTGTCAATGGCAGGAGACTCTGGCAACACCCTCAACTCCTTTCATATCCGACCAGATCAACGACACCACGACCGGTTGGATCGTGAGCAGCAGCACGCAGGGTAAGTGACTCGTAGGGCGCGCCCGTAGTCGTCTGAAGCTCATTTGACAGCCATCGCAGGCCCTCGTCGCTTGCTGCACCGAACGGGAAGAAGAAACCTATTCCGATCCCTAATCCGACTTACATGTCGGACTCGGAGGAAGAGATGGTGAGTGGTAAAGGCTGCGTGCATTGTGTATCGGACAGTTTTGCTCACTTGTACGGCATCAAAGGCGCCGAGGGATCTTTCAACGCCTGACGCGGACGAGCAGAAACCAAAAAGGAGTCAGACCAAGAAGAGGGTGATGTTATCCTATCAACCTGGTCGGGACACCATAAGCGAGTCGACAAGAAGGCCTCCGCCAGGCATTGGCGCAGCCAGAACCGCGACATTCTACCAAAAACAAAGCGGTGCGTGTTTGCGGAACTCTCTGCGAGTCGGCTCAGCGCACACCCTCGCATGTGGCGACGTCTCATTCATGACGGCTTTGCTCCCTCTCGTGATATCAGGTGCCAGAGACGACATCTCCCAATACCGAGACGCAAGCCGAAGCGAGAAGAGCGAG